TGCTCTGAACCTCTCTTCCAAAGTTCTCTTTCCCAGACCTAGAGTCTTCCTTGCATTAAGAGGTAGCTAGCTGATCCTGCTGGGCCCAACTGGGGCTGTGGGGTGAGGTGCCCTTGTTGAAGTGAAGTCTTTTGCCTACTTTCTGCTGAGTACCTAGAACACTGCTGTCTGAAAGAGCTTTCTTCTACTATGCTAATATTCTATATCTGTGTCGTCCCACAGAGAAGGCACAAAGCCACCACAAATGGCTGTTTAGCGCTTGAAATGTGGTTAGTCAGCCTGATCACTTAGGTCCTTATGCCTTGGATGAACAGGCACTTGTGCTGCTCCAGCTCCCTACCCAACTGCCTGATTCCAGGAGAAAAGATGGTTATGGTTATTCAAAGTACCCTACAGTCTTTGGTTCCACTTGTCCTCGCAGAAAGCAAGAGTAAGAAAATAAGGAAGAAACCGAGAATCTAAGAACTTAATTCAGCTTATGTGTGAGAGAGAGAGATTGTCGCTGAAGCTGTAGCAATACCCCCTAGAAGTAATTGCAGGGGCTGTTGCCAGTAATTGCCTCAGGGCTCCTAGCCACAGGGCAACAGTGCTCTCAGGCTCCAGAGAAGCGGTACCCATGGGTACCGCTTTGGGCTGTCCTCCTCCTGGCCAGCCACTAGCAGGTCTAGTCTGCTGAGCAGCCTTCTCTGTAGTAGTATGGGCACTGCTTTCTCAGTGCAAGAACCTGCTTCAGCATCGACTCATCCACACAGGTGAGACACCATTTCTCTGCCCACGGCGTGGCTGCTGCTTTTAAAAAAGCAGGATACTGGCCACCCACATAAGGAAGAAGCCCTCTGCATGTCTTGACTGTGGGGATATTTTTTGCTTTCCCCTTACTGTTAGTCAGACATTGGCAGGTTCACTCTGGTAACTGTCCCCATGTTTGTGGGTCGCATAGTGTCCACTTTTACCAGTGTGCTTACCTGGTCTAGCACTAGCTGCTCCTCAAAGGGGGCAGGCTCTACCTGTACCCCAACTGTGGCTGCCACTTGCACTTGAGCAGGGGCATGTATATCCACAGGTACAGACATTTGTGCACAGACAGTGGGTGTCATGCTTTGCATACTCTCCCCTACTGGACCACCACCAGCTTGTGTACTTGGGTGGGCATTGCCACCATTCCTTACAATGTGGCAGTTACTTTGCTCACCAGGAAAACTTACTCCAGCACCAGCTCATGGCTGTAGGTAGTGCTTCCACTAGAAGCTCTTTTGGCAGATGCACACACACACACACACACACACACACACACACACACACAGGTGAGAAGCCTTACCCTTGCCCAGAGTAAGCTATCTGCTTCTCTCCTGCCCAGCCACAGGTACATCCACTCTGATGATAAGCCCTTTCTCTGCACTGAGTGTGGGAAACCCTTCAAGAGAAAGTATGCCCTGAAAGCCCATTGGTGGATCCATCAGGCAGAGGGTGAGACATAGTCTGGAGACTTTCTATGCCAGGCTCCTGACCTTATGGTTCCCCAGTTCATGTCCACTATTTCCCAGATAAATCGCGGGACTGTGGATGACCTGGGTCAGGCCTGTGAAGGAGTTTATGATGGATGAGATTCCTCCTTATCAAATGTTGGCAATGCAGAGCAAGCAGGGACAGAAGAGAGAGGAAAAACGAAGGTGTACAAAGCAACAGGTCTGTAGGTGCCTTGAGGTACCCCTTCAGAGAGCAGGACATAGAGGTAATCAGAAATGTGTTAGTGAGTTCCGTCACTCAAAAATGGAACAGGTTAGAACTTGACTATGTGCATCCGTTAAGAAAAGGCGAGACTCCTTAATTTTCCATTACCTTCCCCTAGGATGGACACTGTTCACCCAGGTCTGGATTCTAGTCAGTATATAAGGCGCAGTCTATGTGTACTTTAACTGAAGTTGCGTTTTTAGGCACTTTTCCTCACTGAGCATGAAATGAGGAGAATTAATGTCAAAGCCTTTCACCCAGTTGTCCTGCCAGTGCAATCCAGAGAACATTCTAGGTTCAAATCTCACCTCCCTGCCTTTACTAAGAGGTTTTGGACAAGCTGCTCAACTTTTTGAAAATTGTAAATAAGGATACGCATCCTTATAAGGACACTCATTTTTATAAGGACTCTGGAAGGAAAGTTTCAACTAAGATCATCTATATCACTGTGCCCATACAGTGGCACCTGCTATTTAGTTGGTCCTGAACACCATTTCTCTTTACCCAGAACAGGGTGCCTTTGGTCTTTATGTGGCCTCTTGGTGTGTAGACTCCCTGGATCTTCTCCACCCTTTCTGCAGTGGATGGCCTTCCTTCAAGAGGAGCCCTGCTTGTCCCTGTGCCCAATGGGTCCAGGAATTTATACAGAAAGGCACAAGGGGCTCTGCTCTTATCAAGTCAAGAGTGTTTTTTTTTTCTCCAAAGTATTTCCCCATAATAAGAAGTATCTGATTCTGCCTGAATCCTAGGTTCTACCTTAGTGGCTCCCATCAAAATGGTCACAAGCCTGGTGTTAAAAAAACAATTCAACTGAGTAAATTTGAAGATCTAATTGGTTTTATTAAATGATTCAATTCATGAATTGGGCAGCATCTCATCTAGCAAGCAGAGCAGTATTCCAAGAAGTTACACAAAATGGAAAGGAGGCTGCGGTGAGGACATTATTAGCAAAAGGAAAACAATGAACCAGAAGTTCTTTGGAGGAAAACAAAAGTTCATGGTGACAGTGTCTTCTTATTGGCTGAGCTGCACACTTTCCATTGGCTGGGCTGGAAAATCTTCCCTTATTTGATACATCTTTCTGTTGGAGATGCAAGGTAAATCTCTTCCTGTTTGGGTAATTGAGGATCAGTGACTGGGCATGGAAAGCTGCTTGTACAGGCCTTCCCAACTCCAGTTTTAATTTATGTTTCCTTTATTAATTTTCACACTGGCCAAATGGGGCCTTTAGAGCCTAGGGCCAAAAAGGCTAGGCAGAGGCTGCACCTTCAGTCCAACCTTCCTTCTCAGCACTTTAATACCTCAGTATTTAATCATCTTTCCCATTCAATGTCAGCATCTTCTCCTTGTTCAGTTGACAGCACATCATTATTGTTTAAGCAGGGTGTCCACAAAGCAAGTCTGACTCCAGCCTCCTCTGTGTAGTCACTTTCTCCTTTCAAAATGAAATGTGCTATCCGTTTGACTTTTTATTCCCTTAGCAGCCTAAGTTTACATTGTTATTTCTCTAAACTGAGCTATGTGTAGACAGAAAGAGTGGGCAAAAAGCTATCATCCTGAAAACTACCAGTTTAGAAGGTCATTTACTTCTCTAGACTTATACAGAGTTCTCCAAAGTACAGAATGAAGCCCTTCGATATTTGGTACCAACCTACCCTTTCAGTCCTTCAGTTTTACCATATGTGTATCTTGTGCTACATTAGAAAGCAGCATCATTCTCTTCACACTCAGAACTTGCCTGAATTTCTGGCCTTATGCCAGAGAACTTTAACCACCATGGAATTCAGCTGTTTATAAAACAAATGGTATAATGAGCACCACTGCCCATCCCCTCATAGACCAAACTCATTTCCCATGTGATGCATCAGTCTAGAAAGTCATTAGGAGAAGAGAATCTTGTCTTACTCATTTGGGCAATCTTGACATTCTATTTGCTCTCCCAGTAGTTTGTTCAATAAAGTAACTATCCTTACAACAAAGGAGAACTCAATGGAAGATTTACTGCAGTTTTTTTCTACTTCCTCTTTTCAAAAATTATCCTCAGAATGTCTTACTGCCTATGTTATCTTTTTTTTTATCCTCACCCAAGGACATTTTTTTTTCATTGTGTGAAAGAAAAACATTGATTGGGTGCCTTCTCATATGGGCCCTGACTGGAGATGGAACTCATAACCTGGGTTATGTGCCCCAACCCAGAATCGAACCCACGACCATTCAGTCTATGAGGTGATGCTCTAACCGAGCCACACCTGCCAGAGTCTGCCTTTGTTATCTTGTGACTTTCTGTCACATTGTCTTTATTCCCTGTAAGTTTTGGGATAATGTTTTGCCCAAAGAAGGTACTTTAAAATATTAATGGATTGGAAAGATAAATGTGTATGTTACCAGCTGAGGCAAGAGATGTAGCAAATGGAATATTCTCCTGTTCCCAGCTCCCCTGGGCAATAACATTGAGTTGGTGTAATTGCATGACAACACACAGGAGTAGGGACACCCTATGGGGTGGGTGCTGACTGGTTACATCCGCAATTTTCCTTTCCTTTATGTCTTTCCCATACATGCTTGTATCATTCTGCTACTATTAGTTGTGATTTATATGCTTCACTAGATTGTTAACTTCATTCAGGGCGTGGCCCATAACTTATTTTTGTAACCCGGCCTCTCCTCACTGTCTACTACTATGCTTTGTACATTACATAAATGTTATGTAAATGTGTATGTGTGTGTGTGTGTGTGTGTGTGTGTGTGAGTGTGTGTGTGTAGAGCTACGCAGTAGATTGAACCTGAAAAGAGACCAGGTGTGCTCAGGTGGATTCTTGAGTTTCCAAGCAAATTAAGATAATGGGAGGGAAGAGTGCCTAGTTCAGTGGCATGAATAAAGGGCCTATCAGCCCCACATTTAAATCTATTCCTCTGCCTTACTAGCAGTAACCCGCTGAGAGCTTTCCTCAATAGTGGAACCAGGATGATACCATCACCTCACAGAGTGGTGGCTAAGAATAAATAAGATAGAATGTGTACTGTATCGTATATGGTACCCGGACAGAGGAAACGCTGTTAATTCCCTGCCCGAAAGAGCAACAAGTTGAGAACCCAGAGGCTTTTCCACCTGGGTTGGTAGGAGTGGCTTCTTCGCTCAAATCCACTCCTCCTTCTGGTAGGCAGCGCTTGCCGCTGAACTGGGGCGGGTTGCTAACCCCGGGCCACGTCACGGGTGTAAGCCTCAAAACTCAGTCACAAGACACCAAGGGGCCGGCTTCTTGCCCTACGCTTGCGTTGGCTTCGTTCAAACAGGCCGCTTTCGTCACCATCCAATCAGAACGCTCGATCTTCGGCCACCGCCCAATGGGCGCGTGGAATGGGAGGAAAGAGGGCGTGAAGCCTAATCGCAGCGCCATCACACTTGAGGGCAAAGAGGTAGGAAGCCGGCATGGCGCTCTGGTCAATAAAATCGATAGCTGGAAGCTGCCTGTGTTCCAGGCAAAGGCAGTGCAGTAGCAGCGCCGCCATTTTCCCCGAAGGCATCTTCCGGTACCTTTCCCCCAAGTTTGAGCAGGAGTTTCCTGAATAACAGCGAGAGGTTTCCGTTAGTAGTGCAGGCGGTTGATTCCGATTCCCTCCTGACCTGCCCTGGGCACACTCAAGTCCCAGTCCGGCGGCGAGGCGGCGAGTCCCAAATCTCGTGGTCCGCCAGGGGCCGAGGCCGGAACGGAGAAGTTTGTGGAGTCGGTTTCTCGGGTCCAATGGCACCGCCTTCGGCTCCGCTTTCCGCAAGGGGAGCAGGAAAGGCCGGACCCGGCCGGAGAAGGGGAAGGAAACCAAGGGCTATGAAGTTCGCGGACGTGGCCATGTACTTCTCCCCGGAGGAGTGGGGTTGTCTGCTGCCCGCGCAGAGGGCCCTGTACCGGGACGTGATGCAGGAAACCTACGGCCACCTGGGCGTGCTCGGTGAGGCCCGGCCCAGTCTGCTTCCGCGGGGCGAAAGGGTTGGAGGAGCTTGGCGGTTGGGGGGCAGAGTGTCCGGGCTCCTGGCCTGCGACCAGGTTATGTCAGGGGAGGAGAACGGTGGCTTGGCAGAAGATGCACCGGGTAGATATTTATCTAGAGTTACGTATGAGCTAGACCTCTGATTAAGGTTTTTCCCCAGGGTGCGCAGGTCCCAAACCAGCCCTCATCTCCTGGTTGGAACGAAATACCGATGACTGGGAACCAGCTGCCCTGGATCCACAGGAGTGCCCAAGGGGGGTAACAGTCCAAAGAAGTGAGTGAAAAAATGCTGGTGGAGGGCCTGCAGCTTCTGATGACTCAATCCAGACTTATGGTGGCTAGGAGTACCCATGACCCATGTTGCAGGGCTCCGGCTTGCTGAGTTCATTTCACAGTTTTAGGGTTTATGATGGTGTTGGGTCGGTCCACCACACAGAGATTCACATATCAGTTTGCACGCCAGTGATCTGCAGTTCTGTATTGTGTAAATGAATCAGTGAGCTTTTAGAACAAGCTACTACCCTCCTGTCTCCTTCCTAGGATCCCCGCCCCCAGCGGCCTTTGAATTTGGTTCTGACTGGGCAACCCTATACCTCTCTTGAGTTTTCTGTGTTTAGTTAAAGGGACCTCATGGAGAATATGGCTGTTTGGGGTGCAGGGGCCTCTTTCTGCCCTTCTGGCAGAACCCTGATCAGTTCAAGACACACTGCACTCCCCTCAGGATCAAGCAAGGCTCTGATTAACTCCATTCAGGTAGAAGAGCCCCAGATTCACCACAGGGGCAGATGGAACTGTCTGGGCTGGAGTTTCTATATCAGAATCTCCAAGGCCAGGACTATCTAAGATTCATATCTTACCATGGCATTTTCTTACTTAAAATCATTCAGTTTTTGCTAAAGTGGGTTGCCAAATGGCTGTTGGTTATATCTAGTCACTTGGGGAACTTGATAAAAATACAGATTCTTGGAACCCAGCCCAGAACTAGTTACTTAGTGTTATAGATGTCTAGGAATGTGTGTGTTTTGATAGCCCCAGTTGATTTTGATGTACGCTTAGGTTTGAGAACCATTGGGTAAAATATAGTTCAAGGTCCTTACTGCAGCGGTTCTCAGAGTGTGGTCCTCAGACCGGTAGCAGCATCACTCCGGATCATTAGAAATGTGAGTTCATGGGCCCTACCTCACACCTGCTGAATCCAAAACTGGGAGCAGGACTGCTTCAGGAGCTAAGGCCCTTCAGTCTGCTTTGGTAAACCTTCCAACTGATTCCGATCACACTAAAATTTGAGAACCATTGGCTTAGAGGGCCCTATGACTTAGTTGCCAGCTCATAACCTTGTATCCACTTTTTGTCTTATACTTAACTTTTCAAAAACTTTTTAAAAAGATTTTACTTATTTTTAGAGAGGGGAAGAAAGGGAGAGCAATATCAATGTGTGGCTGCTTCTAGCTCACCCCTCACTGGGGACCCAGCCCACAACCCAAGCAAGTGCCCCAGGCTGGGAATCCAATCAGCAACCCTTTGGTTTACAGGTCGGCACTCAATCCACTGAGCCACAACAGCCAGGGCAAAACTTTTAATTTTTTAAAGTTAGTTAAATCTCCAAGAAACCTTCCCAACTTCTCTAGGCTGGGTTTGGGGCTCCTGTAATTCCCTCCATATTTTCATAGCAGGGTATTACACTAGTTTGTCTATGTCACTAACACTCCCTGAAGATGGGCTGAGTGTATTTGTCTTATAACCTGTAACACTGTAATAAGCAAGAGTAGTAGCCCAGTATTTGTTAAATTAATTTCTCCTGTGTCCCTGTAGAAACCAGAACCAGAAAGAAGACTGAAGAGAAGGAAGTATTCCCACCCAAGGAGGCACCACGGAAGGGGAAGAGAGGGCGGAGACCCAGCAAGCCCCGACTGATTCCCAGACAGACATCTGGGGGTCCCATCTGCCCTGACTGTGGTTGCACCTTCCCTGATCACCTGGCTCTGAAAAGCCACAAGTGTGCCCAGAATCTAAAAAAGCCTTACCCTTGCCCAGACTGTGGGCGCCGCTTTTCTTACCCATCCCTGTTGGTTAGTCACCGGCGGGCACACTCTGGTGAATGTCCCTATGTTTGTGACCAGTGTGGCAAGCGTTTCTCTCAGCGTAAGAATCTCTCCCAGCACCAGGTTATCCACACAGGGGAAAAACCCTACCATTGCCCTGACTGTGGCCGCTGCTTCCGTAGGAGCCGGTCCTTGGCCAATCACCGGACCACACATACGGGTGAAAAACCCCACCAGTGTCCTAGCTGTGGGCGACGCTTTGCCTACCCATCCCTGCTAGCCATCCACCAGCGCACACATACAGGAGAGAAGCCCTACACCTGCCTTGAATGCAATCGTCGCTTCCGACAGCGCACCGCTCTTGTCATCCACCAGCGTATCCATACTGGTGAGAAGCCATACCCATGTCCAGACTGTGAGCGGCGCTTCTCTTCGTCCTCTCGTCTTGTGAGCCATCGGCGAGTACACTCTGGGGAGCGTCCTTATGCCTGTGAGCACTGTGAAGCCCGCTTCTCTCAACGCAGTACACTACTCCAGCACCAGCTCTTGCACACAGGAGAGAAGCCCTATCCTTGCCCGGATTGTGGACGTGCCTTCCGTCGGAGTGGCTCCCTAGCCATACATCGCAGCACGCACACCGAGGAGAAGCTGCACGCGTGTGATGACTGTGGCCGTCGCTTTGCTTACCCCTCACTACTGGCCAGTCACCGGCGTGTACACTCAGGCGAGCGGCCCTATGCTTGTGACCTGTGTTCTAAGCGTTTTGCCCAGTGGAGCCACCTGGCCCAGCACCAGCTGCTGCACACTGGGGAGAAGCCTTTCCCCTGCCTTGAGTGTGGCCGTTGCTTTCGCCAGAGGTGGTCTCTGGCGGTCCACAAGTGTAGCCCCAAGGTCCAAAACTGTAGCCCTAGATCTGTTATAGAGGGACCCAGTCAGAAGGACAGTGCCCTTTAGAATGGGAAGAACTGTCTTAAGTTCATTTCATTTCATAGAGGGGCCCAGAGAAGGGAAGAAGAAGCCTTAGGTCACACAGGGCAGATTCAGTACTATAACTCATGTCTCCTGCACAGACCTGAACTTGAGTATATTCCACCATGCTGGCTGCCTTATTCTGTCTAAAGCAGATAAGTCCCACTGGGAGAGCTGACATCTTTTGCTTAAAGTTTAACAAGCTACCCTACCCTAAAATTTCTATGTGTGGACATCAGGGTAAAAGTTCTCCCCATATATTTTAGGGTCTGTCTGCCTTTCAAACTTGCATATAGGGAATACCTGTCCCCTTGCATGCAGACAGGAGGATCTCAATAGGTGGCAGGATGTTACCCTACTCTGCCTCTTCCTCTGTACCAGGTTTGAATAACTGTGTTTAGCCCCCTTCTTACAACACTCCTGCCAAGTGGTTTTCTACCCTAACTTTAAAACTCCCTTGACAGGGAGCTCACTACCTCAAAAGGCAGGTCATTTCATTGTAGGATAGCGGTGATCTTTAGAGCATGGTTAAATGGCACAGTCTTCTTCTCTGTAAAGCCTTGCCCAAAATATGTTTAATTCTTCTACATGTCAGCCTTTCAGATAACTTAGTCACAACTACTTTGTTGTTTTCAGCATTAATTTGGTCAAGCCTTCCTTAGATAGGGTTTCAGTTCCCACATATAATCTCCAAACAGGTGCTGGTTTTTCACTATCCCTTTTAAAGACTCTTACAAAAATAAGCCACCATACCTTCTTGGTCTATAGTTGTTTTAACAGCTCTAAATTGCATTGGATTTGGGAGGAGTGCAGCACTGTACCAGGGGTTTATTGGGTTGCAGACACCCAAATACCTAAGGTTTTTTTTTTTTTTTTTTCCAAAATCCTGATTTTAGAAACATCAATCAGTTGCCTTCCATATGCGTCCTGAGGACCAAATCTACAACATTCTGGTGTATGGGATGATCCTCCAACTAACAACCACCCAGCCAGGGCCCTAAGCTTTTTTAAACCACGTGCTATGAAGCTAAGTTTTCTGTACCCTGTGTATGGAAAATTGGTTCAAGTCGGTTCTGGCACATAAGTGCAGTGAAGTTTGGGAAAAGATGGATCTTAAGGAAAAGCAGGGACAGTATGGGCTAGCAGCAAGAAGTGAAAAAAGGACCAGCTTGTACTTTACCTGGTGGATTTGCATTGGTTCCTGGCATCCAGTGGTGGGAAAATCCTTCAGCCCAGAACCTTCATGAGCTGTCAGTCAACTTTTTTTCCCCCCATAAAATGAGGTGAGGTCATTCAAGGAGGGTAGAAAGTTAGGTGATTACATATAAAGCAGAAAGAGTATACAGAGTTATTGTGTTCATGCCTGCCCCCTCGCATAAGCTCCAGAAGTCTGTGTGTCTTAATTTTTGATTTGCTTCCATGGCACCCACCCCTGAGTAGGTAAGTGCTCAGTAAAGCTTTACTGAATTGAATGAACAGTCCTGTCACTTCACCTTGGGTAGCTGCACCAAATTGGAATTTCCATACCTGACTTGTCTCATTCCAACAGCTGGAAGGGGTCATCCTACTCCTGTTGCTTTCAGTTCTCCTGATACCAGCCCCAGAGTGGGGGAGCAGCTGGGGAACCCAGCTTTTGTGAGTACCTCTGTTCTGATATTTAGCAAGTTGCATTGTAAGAGTTTCTCCTTGGATGATGAGCTACCCCAAGGCAGGGGTCAGACCAGATTGGGTCTCATTAAAATGTCTGTTGAATGAATTTGGTTCCTTGTGGAATTTTTGTAATATGTAAATCTAGCTCCTTGCTAGGTAGAAATTTTTACAGTTCTGATGGAGACCTGCCCCACCCTAGCAGAGACCTATTAGATCTGCCTAGAACCATGTTTTAAGACTGGCTCTTTCCCCTACTTTTATCACCAGGTCGACCAACTATTTCCTTACCTAGGAATTTATAACTTTCTTTGGGCCTGATTGTAACTCATTGCAACTTGGGAACCACTGGTGGCCAAGTTCCATTGTGTGGTCTATGGAGGGCACAGATGAGAGACAACTTCTAGGTTTCAATGCCAGGGTCCATTTGATGACTAGCTGTATCTTTCAAGTAAATTCCCCCTTCTGCTTTAGGTAGTTTGAGTTTCTGTTACTTGCAACCAAAAGAATTAACTAATACACAGTCCCAATATGGGTTAGTCTCCCATCTGCCTTTATGCCTGTATATGAATTATGAAGAAAATTTTCTGATACCTTTTCTGATCTCCAACCTCAGTTAAACCTTCAGTATCACTTTAGTCTTCCATATATCGTGAGCCAGTGAGTACCTTCTCCTTCACTAAGAAAACAGAGGGTATTAGATAGGAACTCCTTCAACATTCCTCTCCTCACTCTGACTCCAGATTTACCAGTGTGAACACTCAGACTCATTTGCTTCTACCCTACCTCAAGAAAGCCCCTCATATGCAATGCTCATCAACATACCTGTGCCTGGTACTCATCAACTGCCTCCTAGGGGATTTTGCTCCATCTATTATTTTTCTCTTTCCTCTTAGTTTTATGATTAGAGTTCCTCTCACATGGAACACACACTCCAGCCAATAAACATGCTAAAATCTATCTTTAAACCATAACTTTCCTTCTGGCCTCTGTCCCCATCTCCCATTTTCACCTAAATTTCTTTTTTTTTTTTTTTTAAGATTTTATTTATCTTTAGATGGGAAGAGAAGGAGAGAGGGAGAGAAATATCAATTTATGGTTGCCTCTCATGTGTCCCCTGCTGGGAACTGGCCTACAACCCAGGCATATACCCTGACTAGGAATCGAATCACAGTTGTCTGGTTCACAGGCCTGCGCTCAATCCACTGAGCCTCACCAGCCAGGGCTAGGCTAAATTTCTTGAAGCAATAGCCATTATGTTTATTCTTTTAAAAAATATATATTTTATTGATTATGCTATTACAGTTGTTCCATTGTTTTCCTCCCTTTTATTCCACCTCCCACCTGCATCCCCTGCCTCCCTTAGTTCATGTCCATGGGTCATATAAATTCTTTGGCTTCTCCAATTCCTACACTATTCTTAGCTGCCTCCTGTCTATTTTGTACCTACCAATTACTCTTATTCCCTGTATCATTTCTCCCATTCTTTCCCCCTCCCCCTCCAGCTGATAACCCTCCCTGTGATCTCCATTTCTGTGGTTCTGTTCCTGTTCTAGTTGTTTGCTTAGTTTGTTTTTGGTTTTGTTTTGTCTTTTTTAGATTCAGTTGTCGATAGTTGTGAGTTTGTTGTCATTTTACTGTTCACATTTTTTATCATCTTTTTCTTAGATAAATCCCTTTAACGTTTCATATAATAAGGGCTTGGTGATAATGAACTCCTATAACTTGACCTTATCTGGGAAGCACTTTATCTGCCCTTCCATTCTAAATGATAGCTTTGCTGGATAGACCAATCTTGGATGTAGGTCCTTGCCTTTCATGACTTGGAATGCTTCTTTCCAGCCCCTTTTTGCCTGTAAGGTCTCTTGAGAAATCAGCTGATATTCTTATGGGAGCTCCTTTGTAGGTAACTCTTCATTTTTCTCTTGACACTTTTAAGATTCTCCTTATCTTTAATTTTGGGTCATTTAAGTCTTGATGTGTTCCTCTTTGGGTACATATTCTTTGGGATTCTCTGAGCTTCCTGGATTTCCTGGAAGTAAATTTCCTTTGCCAGATTAGGGAATTTCTCCTTCATATTTTTCAAATAAGTTTTCAATTTCTTGCTCTTCCTCTTCTCCTGCCTCCCCTATGATTTGGATGTTGGAACATTTAAAGTTGTCCCAGAGGTTCCTAAGCCTTTCCTCATTTTTGAATTCTTGTCTCTTCATTCTGTTCTGGTTGAATGTTTATTTCTTCCTATTGTTCCAAATTGTTGATTTGAGTCCCAGTTTCCTTCCCTTCACTGTTGGTTCCCTGTACATTTCTCTTCATTTCACTTTGCATGGCCTTCACTTTTTCTTCCATTTTGCAACCATACTCAGCCATTTCTGTGAACATCCTGATTCCCAGTGTTTTGAACTGTGCATCTGATAGGTGGACTCTCTCTTCATGCTTAGTTCTCTTTTTGGAATTTTGATCTGTTCTTTCATTAAGGCCATATTTTTTGGTCTCAGCACAGCTGTTATAATGTAAGGGGTGGAAGGTTAAGTATTCCCCAGAGTGGGTCAACCCAGGTCTTGCATTGTGGTGCTGTCTGGGGGGAGGGGTCAGAGGGAACAGTGCTGCTTGCCAGGCTCTCGGCCAGCTTTTAGTCATTTCCTCTGCTACCCACAAGCAAATTGGGCCCTTTTGGTGCTGATTCCCAGGTGGGTGGGTTTGTGTATGTTCCAGGACCCTGTGGGTCTCTCCAATGAACTCTCCTGTGAGGCTGGGAGTTTCTCCTGCCACCGCACCCCCACAGGTTTTTACTGCTAGAGGTTTTGAGGCTTTATTTCCCTGAGCTGGAACCCTGGGTTGTGGGGTCTGTTTCACTCCCCAGTTATTCTTCCCAGTTATCAGTACGCAAATGTGGGACCGCCTGGTCTACCAGCGACCACCTCACCCACCCTGGTCCTCCAGCTTCCAGCTTGCTGTGTGTCCTCTGCACCCCGGCTGCCTGTCTGTGCCCTTCCAGTCCAAATGAATGTTTCTTCTTAACTCCTTAGTTGTCAGACTTCCATACAGTTCGATTTTTGGCAGTTCTGGTTATTTTCTATTTTTAATTTGTTTTTGTCCTTTTGGTTGTGCAAGGAGGCAAACTATATCTACCTACACCTCCATCTTGGCCGGAACTCATTCTGTTTATTCTGTGGCCAACTGTAATAGTATTACAGCCACTTTGTTGAGTATTTATGGTATACCATTTACTGTGTTAAACATTTTATGTACATTCCAATCTAATTTTTACAAAAAAACCCATAAAGTAGGTGCTAGGACATGCTCCTCCATGGGTTTCCCGGGTTGCTACCTATCTTGCTGAGTATGCCAAAAGTGCAAGGCCCTGCCTCAAATTCTCAGGCTTTAGCCAATTCCAGATCTAGAGATCAAATGAGTGAGGGGAGGCTGAGTACTATTGGTTACAGACCATGTTACATTGGCAAAAACATACAATAGATGTTCCTGGCCTTTTCCAAATGTATGTGCAGCCATTCACCAGGGTGCCTAGAACTGATAAATAAATACAGTAAAGTAGCAGGATACAATGTAAATGTTCAGAAATCCATTGCATTTTTATATATCAATAATAAACTACCAGAAGGGGAAACTAAGAAAACCCATTAACAAGTGCATTAAAAAATACACCTAGGAATAAATTTTACCAAGGAGGTGAAAGACATGTTTTCAGAAAATTATAAGACACGGAAGAAAGAAATTGAAGAAGTTACAAGTAAAAGGAAGCATATACTCTGCTAATGGATAAGAAGAAATAACATTGTTAGAATGTCCATACTACCCAAAGCAATCTACAGATTCAATACAATACCTACCAAAATACAAGGATGTACTTCAAGAATAGAACAGCCCTGGCTGCTGTGGCTCAATGGATTGCACATCAGCCTGCAAAATAAAAAGTTGCTGGTTTGATTACCGGTCAGGGCATGTGCCTGGGTGCAGACCAGGTGCCCCATTGTCGTCCAGGTGCCCTGTTGAGGGCATGTTAACCAATCAGTGTATCTCTCACACATCAATGCTTCTCTCCTTCTCTTTCTCTCTCCCCTTCTCTCTAAAAATAATAAACTCTTTTTGAAATGTTAGAAAAAGGACTGAATAAATAATCCAGAAAATTTATATGGAACCACAAAATACCCCAAATAGCCCCTGCAATCTTGAGAAAGAAGAACAAATTTGGAGGAATCACACTACCTGATACCAAACTATACTACAAACCCATAGTAATCAAAACAGCATGGTACTGGCATAAAAACAAACAGATCAATGGAACAGAATACAAAGCCCAGAAATAAATGTATGCCTATAGGGCCAAATACTAAAGGAGGCAAGAATATAAAATGGGGTAAAAACAGTCTCTTAAATAAATGATGGGAAAATTGGACAGACACATACAAAACAAACAAAACTAGACCACCTTCTTACACCATATACAAGAATAAACTCAAAATGGGCTAAAAAATGTAAGACTCCAAACCATAAAACTAGAGGAAAACAGGCAATAAAATCTCTGACATTTCTCTTAGTGATAGTTTTTCCTGATACATCTCAGGCAAGAAAAGAAAAGGAAAAAAAAATAAACAAATGGGACTACATCAAACTAAAAGTTTTTTAAAAAAGACTTTATTATTTTTATAAACGGGAAGGGAGGGGGAGAGGGAGAGAAACATCAATGTGCGGTTGCTTCTCACACACCCCCTTACTGGGGACCTGGCCCACAACCCAGGCATGTGCCCTGACAGCAACCCTTTGATTTGCAGGCTGGCACTCAATCCACTGAGCTACACCAGCCAGGGCCCAACTAAGAAAGTTTTTGCACAGAAATAGAAACCATCAACAAAATGAAAAGACTACTCACTGAGTGGGAGAACATTTTCCAATGATACATATGATAGGTTAATATCCAAAATGTATAAAGAACTCATACAACTCAACAACGAAAACTAAACAGTCCCATTTAAAAATTGGCAAAGGACCTGAATAAATATTTCTCTAAAGAGGACCTACAGATGGCCAATAGACTAATGAAAAGATGCTCAACATTGATAACATCAGAGATATGCAAATTAAAATCACAAT